GGTTGATGTGGTGGTATATGATTGGTGGGATAGTAGGATGATTGTGTGTAATGGTAGTTGGTTAGTGTGGTGGTAGATGGTTGGTGTGGTGGTAAAGTGGTTGATATGGTGGTAGATGTTGGTGTGGTGGTAGATGGTTGATGTGGTGGTATAGATTAGGTGATAGTAGATGATTGGTTGTATTGGTAGATGGTTAGTGTGGTGGTAGATGGTTGGTGTGGTGGTAAATGTTGATATTTGGGTGGTTGGTTAGATGGTTGGTGTGGTGGTAGATGGTTGATGTGGTGGTATATGATTGGGGTGATAGTAGAAGATTGGTGTAATGGTAGATGGTTAGTTGTGGTGGTAGATGGTTGGGTTGTGGTGGTAAATGGTTGATATGGTGGTAGATGGTTGGTGTGGTGGTAGATTGTTGATGTGGTGGTATATGATTGGTGTGATAGTAGATGATTGGTGTAAATGGTAGATGGTTAGTGTGGTGGTAGATGGGTTGGTGTGGTGGTAGATGGGTTGATGTGGATTGTTGATGATTGGTGTGGGGATAGATGATTGGTGTGATGGTAGTGATTGGGTGGTGGCAGATGTTTGGTGTGGTTGGTATATGATTGGTTGATGGTTAGATGTTGGTGTAATGGTAGATGGTTAGTGTGGTGGTAGATGGTTGTGTGGTGGTGATGGTTGATGTTTTGGTAATGATTGATGTGTTGATAGATGATTGGTGTAAATGGTAGATTGATTGGTGTGGTGGTAGATTGTTTGGTGTGGTGGAGATGATTTGGTGAGGGTGGTATATGATTGGTGTATGTGGTAGATGATTGGGAGGTGGCAGATGTTTGTGTGGTGGTAGATGATTGGTGGGTCGTATATGGTTGGTGTTGTGGTAGATGGTGTAGTTGTAGGGGTTGAGTGTGGTGGTAGATGATTTGTGTTGTGGTAGAATTTGGTGTCGTTGGTAAATGCTTGGTGTGGTGGTAGATGGCTGGTGTGGCAGTAGAGATTGTGTGGTGGTAGACGGTTGTTGTTAGGAGGTAGATGGTTGGTTTGGTGGTAGATGTTTTGTGTTGTGGAGAAGTTGGTGTCGTGGTAAATGATTGGTGTGGTGGTAGATGGCTGGTGTGGCAGTAGATGTTTGGTGTGGTGGTAGACGGTTGGTGAGGAGGTTGATGGTTGGTGTGAGTGGTAGATGGTTGGTGTGGTGTATATGATTGGTGTGTGGTACATGGTTGGTGTGTGGTTAGATTATTGGTGTGGTGGTAGATGCGTTTGGTGTGGTGTTAGATAATTGGTGTGGTGGTAGATGGTTGGAGAGGCGGTAGAAGGTTGGTAGGTTGTAGGTGTTGGTGTGATGTTAGATGGTTGGTGTGGTGGTAGATGATTGGTGTGAGTGTAGTTGGTTGGTGTGGTGGTAGAGATTGTTGTGGTGGTAGATGGTGGTGTGGTGGTTAGATGTTTGTGTGGTGGTAGATGATTGGTGTGATGGTAAATGATTGGTGAGGTGGGCGATGGTTTTGGTGTTGTCGGTAGATGATGTGTTGTGGTACAGGATTGGTGTGGTGGTGGATGGAATTGGTAAGGTAGCAGATGTTTGGGTGGTGGGAAGTGGTGGTGTGATGGTAGATGTTTGGTGAGGTGGCAGATGATTGGTGTGGTGTTATAAGATGGTGTGAATGTAGATGATTGGTGTGGTGGTAGATGATCGGTGTGGTGGCAGATGATTTGGTGTGGGTGGTAGATTTTTGGTGTGGTGGTAGATGATTGGGAGGTGGTATACGGGTTGTGTGATTGGTAGATGATTGGGGTGAGGAAGATGATTGGTGTGGTTACTGGATGGTTGTTTGCTGTGGCTGATGGTGGTGTGATGGTAGATGGGTGGTGTGGCTGGTAGATGACTGGTGTGGTGGTGTGATGGTTGGTGAGGTGGTAGATGGTTGGGGTGATGGTAGAGGTTGGTTGTGATTGTAGATGAATTGGTGTGATGGTGATGGTCGGTGGTGGTGGCAGATGATTGGTGGTTGTGGTAGATGGTTGTGTGATTTAGATGGTTGGTGTGTTGTAGATGGTTGGTTTGATGGTAGATGTTTTGTGAGGTGGTAGATGATTTGTGTGGTGGTAGTTGATTGGTGAGGTGGTAGAAGGTTGGTGTGTTGGTTAGATGGTGGTGTGATGGTAGATAGTTGGTGTGGTGGTAGATGGTTGGTGTGTGTAGATGGTTGGTTGTGGTGGTAGGATGGTTGTGTGGTGGTAGATGGTTGGTGTGGTGGTAGATGGTTGGTGTGATGGTAGAATGGTTGGTGTGATTGCTAGAAGATTGGTGTGGTGGTGATAGTTGGGGTGATGGTAATTGATTGTGTGGTGGTAGATGGTCGGGTGTGGTGGTAGATGGTTGGTGTGGTGGCAAATGGTTGGTGTGGTGGCAGATGGTGATGTGATGGTAAATGTTTATTGTGGTGGTAGAATGGTTGGTGTGGTGGTAGATGGTTGCCAGTGATGGTAAATGATTTATGTGTTGGTAGATGGTTGGTATGGTGGTAGATGGTTGGTTTTTTTTTTTTTTTTTTATTTTTTATGTTTTAGATGGTTGGTGTGGTGGTAGTGGTTGGTGTGATGGTAAATGTTTGTGTGGTGATAGTGTTGGTGTTGTGGAGATTGTTGGTGTGGTGGTAGATGGTTGGTGGTGGTGGTAGATGGTTGGTGTGGTGGTAGATGTTGGTGTGGTGGTTGATGGTGGTGTGGTGGTAGTTGGTTGGTGTGGTGGTAGATGGTTGGGTGTGGTGGTAGATGGTTGGTGTGGTGGTAGATGGTGGTGTGATTTTAGATGGTTGTGATGGTGGTAGTGGTTGGTGTGGTGGTAGATGGGTTGGTGTGGTGGTAGATGGTTGGTGTGGTGTTAGATGGTTGGGTTGTGGTAGATGGATGGTGTGGTGGTAGATGGTTGGTGTTGTGGTAGATGGTTGTGTGGTGGTAGGATGGTTGGAGTGGTGGTAAATAATTTGTGTTGTGGTAGATGGTTGGTGGGTGGTGATGGTTGGTGAGGTGTAGATGGTGGTGTGGTTGGGAGATGGTTGTGTGGTGGTAGATGGTGGGTGTGGTGGTAGAGGTTGGTGTGTTTGTTGTGGTAGATGGTTGGAGTGATTTTTAGATGGTTGGTGTGGTGGGTAGATGGTTGGTGTGGTGAGGTTAGATGTTGGTGTGGTGGTTAAATGGTTTGGTGTGGATGGTAGATGGTTGGTGTGGTGGTAGATGGTTGGTGTGGTGGTAGATGGTTGGTGTGGTAGTAGATGGTTGGTGTGGTGGTAGATCGTCTTAAGCTGAGGGAACCTTGCAAGAGACAAGAATTATAGGAAGAACTAAAAGCCATAAACGAAATTAAAAAAAAAAATAATTCTCTTATTCCAAATCTAAGGGAAAAACAACATCCAGTATTGGGCCGCTGCTTAGGCGAGATGGGACATGCACAGATGACAGCCAAGAAATAAGTGAGATACTAAAGTCCAAATATGACTCGGTGTTCAGCGAGCCGCTGCCCAGAATAAGGGTCGACAATCCTAATGAATTCTTTGTGAACGAAACCCAAAATTTGGTCATCTCAAAAATCTCGGATATTATTCTAACTTTACAAGACAGAAAATGTAATAAATGACATGTTCATGCACTCTGCTCTCAGGCACAGACTCATGGAACTCCACCTTCATCAAGAACTGCGAGAAACCTTTGTCATGTTCCTTCAGCATTCTATGGAGAGGGAGCATGGACACGGGGGTCATCCCACACTTACTAAAAACAACAAACATAGCCCCATTCTTCAAAGGTGGCAGTAAAGCAATTGCAAAGAACTACAAACAAATAGCACTAACATCCCATATCATAAAAAGTTTTGGAAGGATTGTAAGAAGCAAGATAGCCAACCACCTAGATATCCATCATTTACACAAACTATGGCACACGGGTTTTGAAGCAGGTTGCTCTTGCTGTCCCAAGCTACTGACCACTATGAACAAGGTCCTGGATGCTACAGAAGATCAACAAGTTACTTTGCGAAAACCTTCGACAAGTGTGACCATGGTGTAATAGCACACAAAATGTGTGATGAAGGAATAACAGGAAAAGTTGGTAGATAGATCTATAACTTCCTAACAAATAAAACACGAAGAGTAATAGTAAAAAGTGTAAAGTTCGACGCAGCTAAAGTGAAAAGCACTGTTCCACAACGCACAGAACTCGCTCCCATCCCATTCTTTATCCTCATATCTGACATAGACAGAGATGTAAGTAACAACTCCGTGTCTTCCTTCATAGATGGCATCAGAATTGCCATGACAGTGACCTCCATGGAAGACACCACGAGACTCCACGTGAACATCATGACAGTGACCTCCATGGAAGACACCACGAGACTCCAAGTGAACATCATGACAGTGACCTCCATGGAAGACACCGCGAGACTCCAAGTGAACATCATGACAGTGACCTCCATGGAAGACACCACGAGACTCCAAGTGAACATCATGACAGTGACCTCCATGGAAGACACCACGAGACTCCAAGTGAACATCATGACAGTGACCTCCATGGAAAGACACCACGAGACTCCAAGAGAACATTATGACCAGTGACGTCCATGGAAGAAACACGAGACTCAGTGAACATCATGGACAGTGACCTCCATGGAAGGACCACGAGACTCCAAGTGAACATCATGGACGCTTGACCTCCATGGAAGACACCACGAGCTCCAAGTGGAAACTCATGACAGTGGACCTCCATGGAAGACACACGAGACTCCAGTGAACATCATGACAGTGACCTCCATGGAAGACACCACGAGACTCCAAGTGAACATCATGACAGTGACCTCCATGGAAGACACCACGAGACTCCAAGTGAACATCATGACAGTGGACCTCCCATGGAAGACACCACGAGACCCATGTGAACTATCATGACAGTTGACTCCATTGGAAGACACCACGAGAATCCAGTGAAACTTCATGGACAGTGACCTCCATGGAAGACACCACGAGACTCCAAGTGAACATCATGACAGTGACCTCCATGGAAGACACCACGAGACTCCAAGTGAACATTTGACAGTGCGTCCATGGAAGCACCACGAGACGCCATGTGGAAACATCATGACGTGACCTCCATGGAAAGAACCACGAGACTCCAAGTGAACATTATGACAGTGACCTCCATGGAAGACACCACGAGACTCCAAGTGAACATTATGACAGTGACGTCCATGGAAGACACCACGAGACTCCAAGTGAACATTATGACAGTGACCTCCATGGAAGACACCACGAGACTCCAAGTGAACATTATGGACAGTGACCTCCATGGAAGGACACACGAGTCTCCAAGTGAAACATTATGACAGTGCACCTCCATGGAAGACACCACCGGAGACTCCAAGTGAACATTATGACAGTGACGTCCATGGAAGACACCACGAGACTCCAAGTGAACATCATGACAGTGACCTCCATGGAAGACACCACGAGACTCCAAGTGAACATTATGACAGTGACCTCCATGGAAGACACCACGAGACTCCAAGTGAACATTATGACAGTGACCTCCATGGAAGAACCTCGAGACTCAAGTGAACATCTTGACAGTGGACCTTCATGAAGACACCACGGGAGACCGCCAAGTGAACATCATGACAGTGACCTCCATGGAAGACACCACGAGACTCCAAGTGAACATCATGACAGTGACCTCCATGGAAGACACCACGAGACTCCAAGTGAACATCATGACGTGGACGTCCATGGAAGACACCACGAGACTCCAAGTGAACATCATGACAGTGACCTCCATGGAAGACACCACGAGACTCCAAGTGAACATCATGACAGTGACCTCCATGGAAGACACACGAGACTCAAGTGACTCTTACAGTGACCTCCATGGAAGACACCACGAGACTCCAAGTGAACATCATGACAGTGACCTCCATGGAAGACACCACGAGACTCCAAGTGAACATCATGACAGTGACCTCCATGGAAGACACCGCGGAATCCAAAGTGAAACAATCATGATGTGACCTCCATGGGAAGAACCACGAGACTCCAGTGAACATCATGACAGTTGACGTCATGGGAAGACACCACGAGACTCCAAGTGAAACATCATGACAGTGACGTCCATGGAAGACACCACGGAACTCCAAGTGAACTTCAACCAAATCTTCAGATGGACCTCTCAAAAAACATGAAGTTTAAAGAAAAGAAATTTCATTTACTCAGACATGGAAAACTTGAAGAAAATTAAAACTGTATCAGGATATACAACAAATTCTAAAAAAAAACAATAGAGCGAAAAAGTAATGTGAAGGACCTGGAAGTGATAATGCCAGAGGCTCTCGCCTTCAAAGATCACAACAACATATGTACCGCATCTGCTAGGAAAATGGTAGGATGGATAATGAGAACTATCAAAACTAGTGATGCAAAGCCCATGATGATTCTCTTCAAATAGTTTGTTCTCTCTACGTTAGAATACTGCTGATATCACTAAACTGCCCACTTCAGACCTAGTGAAAAAATTCTGACCTTGGAGAGTGTACAAGATCTTTCCCGGGCACAAATAAGTACTATAAGGCATCTAAATTACCGGGGACGGTTGAAATCCCTTGATTTGTATTCCCTGGAACGCAGGCGAAAGAGAATTATGATAATATACACTTGGAAAATCCTACAGAGATTAGTACCAAACTTGCACAAGAAAATCAGTCCCTATGGAAGGAAAAGACTCGGCAGGAGATGCAACATTTCCCAAATGAAAGGAAGAGGCGATATGAGCACACTAAGAGACAACACAATAAATATCAGGGGCTCAAGATGCCAAAACTCCCTCCAGTATATATATGGGATTACCAATAGTCATGGACTGTCTAAAGAAGGCATGAACAGGCACTACAGACAGTACCTGACCAGCTGGGATGTGGTTCGTACGCCAGTTTGCGTGCGGCCAGCAGTAACAGCCTGCTTGATTAGACCCTGATCCGCCACGCCGCCTGGTCTCAGACCGAGCCGCGTTTACCTCCAAAACCCTGGTACAATCCAGATGTGGTGGGAGATGGTTTGTGTGGTGGGAGATGGTTGGGTGGTGTAGATGGTTGTGTGGTGGTAGAAGGTTGTGTGGTGTTAGGATGTTTTGTGTGGTGGTAGATGGTTTGTTTTGTGGTAGATGGTTTGTGGGGGTGGTAGATGGTTTGTGTGGTGGGTAGATGGTTTGTGTGGTGGGGGGGATGGTTTTGTGTGGTGGAAGATGGTTGTGTGGTGGTAGATGGTTTGTGTGGTGGTAGATGGTTTGTGTGGTGGTAGATGGTTTGTGTGGTGGTAGATGGTTGGTGTGGTGGTAGATGGTTTGTGTGGTGGTAGATGGTTTGTGTGGTGGTAGATGGTTTGTGTGGTGGTAGATGGTTTGTGTGGTGGTAGATGGTTGGTGTGGTGGTAGATGGTTTGTGTGGTGGTAGATGGGTTTGGGTGTGGTGGTAGATGGTTGGTGTGGTGGGAGAGGGTTGGTGTGGTGGTAGATGGTTTGGGTGTGGTGGTAGATGGTTTGTGTGGTGGTAGAGGGTTTGTGTGTGGTGGAGAGGGTTTTGGTGTGGTGGTAGAAGGTTTGGGTGTGGTGGTAGATGGTTGGTGTGGTGGTAGATGGTTTGTGTGGTGGTAGATGGTTTGTGTGGTGGTAGATGGTTTGTGTGGGGTAGATGGTTTGTGTGGTGGTGGGTGGTTGGTGTGGTGGTGATGGTTTGTGTGGTGGTAGTGGTTGGTGTGGTGGTAGGAGGTTGTGGGGTGGTGTGGTTGTGTGGTGGTAGATGGTTGGTGTGGTGGTGATGGTTTGTGTGGGGGTTTAGATGGTTTGTGTGGTGGTAGATGGTTTGTGTGGTGGGAGTGGTTCGTTGTGGTGGTAGATGGTTTGTGTGGTGGTAGATGGTTGGTGTGGTGGTAGATGGCTTGTGGTGGTAGATGGTTGGTGTGGTGGGAGATGGTTGTTGTGGTGGTAGTGGTTTGTGTGGTGGTAGAGGGTTTGTGTGGTGGAGAGTTTGTGTGGTGGTAGGATGGTTGTGTGGTGGTAGAGGTTTGTGGGGGTTGGAAAGATGATTGGTGGGGTGGTAGGGTTTGTGTGGTGGAGATGGTTGGTTGTGGTGGTAGAGGGTTTGTGTGGTGGAAGATGTTTGGGTGTGGTGGTAGATGGTTGGTGTGGGTGTAGATGGTGGTGTGGTAGGAGTGATTGGTGTGGGGGAGTGGTTGTGTGTGGAAGGGGTTTGGTTGATGGGGATGGTGGGTGGTGGAAATGGTCTGTGAGGTGGGAGATGGTTGATGTGGGTGAGATGGTTGGTTTGGTAGGGAGTAGATGGTCATTGTGGAGGGAGGTGGCTGGCGTTGTGGTGGGGGGATGGCTGGCGTTGTGGTGGGAGGTGGCTGGCGTTGTGGTGGGAGGTGGCTGGCGTTGTGGTGGGAGGTGGCTGGCGTTGTGGTGGGAGGTGGCTGGCGTTGTGGTGGGAGGTGGCTGGCGTTGTGGTGGGAGGTGGCTGGCGTTGTGGTGGGAGGTGGCTGGCGTTGTGGTGGGGGTGGCTGGCGTTGGGGGTGGGAGGTGGCTGGCGTTGTGGTGGGGAGGTGGCTGGGTTGTGGTGGGAGGTGGCTGGCGTTGTGGTGGGAGGTGGCTGGCGTTGTGGTGGGAGGTGGCTGGCGTTGTGGTGGGAGGTGGCTGGCGTTGTGGTGGGAGGTGGCTGGCGTTGTGGTGGGAGGTGGCTGGCGTTGTGGTGGGAGGTGGCTGGGCTTTGTGGTGGGAGGTGGTGGCGTTGTGGTGGGAGGTGGCTGGCGTTGTGGTGGGAGGTGGCTGGCGTTGTGGTGGGAGGTGGCTGGCGTTGTGGTGGGAGGTGGCTGGCGTTGTGGTGGGAGGTGGCTGGCGTTGTGGTGGGAGGTGGCTGGCGTTTTGGTGGAGTGGCTGGCGTTGTGGTGGGAGGTGGCTGGCGTTGTGGTGGGAGGTGGTGGCGTTGTGGGTGGGAGGTGGCTTTGTGGTGGGAGGTGGCTGGCGGTTGTGGTGGGAGGTGGCTGGCGTTGTGGTGGGAGGTGGCTGGCGTTGTGGTGGGAGGTGGCTGGCGTTGTGGTGGGAGGTGGCTGGCGTTGTGGTGGGAGGTGGCTGGCGTTGTGGTGGGAGGTGGCTGGCGTTGTGGTGGGAAGGTGGCTGGCTTTGTGGTTTTGGGAGGTGGCTGGCGTTGATGGTGGGAGGTGGCTGGCGTTGTGGTGGGAGGTGGTGGCGTTGTGTGGGAGGTGGCGGGGCGTGGGGGTGGGGGGCCTGGCTTGTGGTGGAGGTGGTGGCGTTGTGGTGGGAGGTGGTTTTGCGTTGTGGTGGGTGGTCGGCGTTGTTGTGGGAGGTGGCTGCGTTGTGGTGGGAGGTGGCTGGCGTTGTGGTGGGAGGTGGCTGGCGTTGTGGAAGATAATTGGTCTGTCATGCTACTAGCATGTTACAGTTTATTAGGCATGTCTCACTCCTCTATACCTGGAGTATACCTGTAGTGTACCTGGTGTATACCTGGAGAGGGTTTCGTGGGTCAATGCCCCGCGGCATTGTGGTGGTTTGGGGTTTTGATCATAGGTTGTTATGCTGGCCGCAGTAAACCATCATAAGCACACCCTGGCTGATCAGGCAATGATTTAGGTGCGTGTTCATTTCCGTTCTTGAGATGAAAAATGTAAGTCAACTATACACCTTTTTGAGGAATGTAAACAGGTTAGGATGGGTTTAGCCAAGGTACTAGGATTTAATGATCAATAGGTAACCCCTTGTTATATTCCTGGTTCATTGGGCCAATCCAGGCAAAACCCGCCAAACTGTGTTTGTGGTCACTTGTTGGTCACAGACGGGGCCGCGGGGGCTTTTGACCCCGGAATTCTAGGTAAACTCGGTAAACTTGTGACATTCGAATTGAAAGATTTGTTTTGAGTTGATGGTTCGTTTGCTTTGTACTCTTTGGTTCATGTGTTGACACTGTACATTACTGTACATTCTGTAAACAGTGTATTATTGCAAACAGTTTGTTATTTTTGTGAAGGGAAAATATAAGTTTATATGCTTTTTGAGTTTGTTTGGGCAACCAT